ATTAGCTAAAAAAAAAAACATTTTAATACGTAATTAAAGAACGTTTGATCAAAGCGAAAGTCTGGTTAGGAGGTCGTTGCTGTCTAGGAAGTCTTTTTGTGGAAATGCTTCCTTAAACTGACTGATAAATTCACAAGGTCTGACGCTTTCATGCTATATATATATATTAATTATTAGCAACACGAAAGTCAGTCTTAAGTTATTCCCAATCTGCACTGCATTACTATAAGTATTGAGAGAACGTGCACTAATTAAAAAAGCAAATCGCGTTTCGCCACTGTAGCTCCATTTTAGCAGGGAATGAAACCGTCTTTGGCGTTAATCAACGCCTAAACTGGCTGAATAGAACGCCATTAATTTTGTAGAGCAGCTCTAATTATACGATGATTTCATAGTCTGTCAGATTTATCCGTCGAACAACATTTAAAACATCCCAGATTAATTCAAATGGACTTAAATCGGTACTCTGTGATGGTCAAGGAAGGTTCTGAAAATGACTTGAAGTATAGTATGATGAATTTTCATGCTGAAAGAGATTATGGCCTTTTCTCTATATGATTTCATCTTGAAAGCAATGAACAGTTGTCCATTAAGACACAGTATACTAAGATATGTGTAGATCGTTAAATCAGTAACAGTAAAGTAAGTACATACAAGCTATAACAGTTCAACATTATGGTATTACTCTAACTTCTTTTCGTGTTTGGGATGAAAAAGGTTATATCAAAAGTTTCAATGCTTAAATTAGGACACCACGCGAGCCGACTTTAGCGTTCAAAACAGTAATGAGCGGCTTATGGGATGCAGCCCGACCATAAAAATCTCACAACGTGGAGATCCTGTTTACGGTGGTTGTGTCGGTCCGCAGCCCTAAGTTATCATTGGAGTACTGCGAGATGCATTTAATACCAGGTATGTAGTTGCGATTCCATAAAACATTCTAAAGTTTGCACCAAAAAATGATTAAAATCGATACTGGCTTTACAACTTTAGCACATCCAGAAGTCCGCTATTCCTTCAGCATACTACCCACATTAGATCTGGTTATGGATAGATAGGCTGAAATTTCTCTGACGCATAAGATCAATGGGGCAAACAAAAATGTTCCTCTTTGAAAGTATGCGAGTTCCTTTTTTTATGGCAGCTTGACCTTACTTGGCTCATCTTGACTGTACCTGCCTCATCCCATCTTGATTCTGCCTGGTTTAAGATACGTCTGGCATATTTTGACTGTACTTGGCTCATCTCATCTCGACTGTACTTGGCTCATCTCATCTCGACTGTACTTGGCTCATCTCATCTGTATTGTACCTGGCTAATCTTGACTGTAAATGGCTCATCTGGACTGTACATGGCTCATCTCGGCTGTACCTTGTTCATCTCATCTTGACTGTACCTGTCTCATCTCGTCTGTACCTGACTCATCTTGACTGAAACTGGTATTTATAACCATTACGCAGCGGTTCACTTTATAAATCTTATATAAATTCAGTAGGAATGGGCTAGTGACTGTCTGCTCAGATTTTTGGGTAATGTGGTGTACGTGTGCAGTGTTATCATATAATAGAGGCGTAGCTGTAATCCTGTGTGAAACTATAAACACGTACCACACTTGGGTTTGCATTAGTGCTTAACTTCTAGAAAACAAAAGATAACGGACCCCTGATGGGCAAGTGTGTTGGAGGGGGAGGGGAGAAGTTATTGAAGTTAATATTTCACATTAGGATACAGAAGAACAATGTGGTTGACCACGTCCGTCAAATATCAATTCGTAATGCAACCGAAACATATTTCAAATTATAGTGTTTTCATCTTTAGATATAATATATATCCAGAATATTTTTCGGATCTGTGGACTACATAAGATTTAAACACAAGCCAAACATGATTAAACATGAAATTGTAATGTTTCTGTAAATCCTTTAGAACTTCGTAAGAAAACTGATTCTTGGTTCAACGAACACTTTTAAAGCACCCGGGTGTCGTTACTTTATATCGGTAGACATATTTTATTCCTAACAGTTTTGTCCTCCGGTGAGACAACAACGGACTTGCAACGCTAAAATCCAGGGTTCGATTCTCCGTGGTGGACACAGCAGATAGCCAAATGCTCTAAAACAAACCCACAGCCCACAAATGAAGAAGTAAAATCAACCATTAACTTCTTTGAAAGAAAATAATTACAAACATTTATATCGTACAAGTGCAATAACACGTTGCTGGATTTAGAATGTGTATCGCCAAGTTAACCGCCCTCAGAATTCGACTGTTTTGACTGTTGTTAAACGCAAAGCTACACAAAGGGCTATCTGTGCTCAACCCTCCGCCCATGCGTATCGAAATCCGATGTTTATCATCGTAAGTCTGCTGACTTACAAAATATTTAAAAAAGCGCCCCCCGGTGGCACAGCGGTATGTCTGCGGACTCACCGCTGAGCCAGTGGAAGGCAGAATTCTGTATCAACACGTAAAAAAATTAATGATCCTTTGATAGAAAGAAATATATCTACAAATAAAATAATTTAAAAAACGCGCCCCCCAGTGGCACAGCGGTATGTCTGCGGACTTACCG